ATTAATATGTGCTCAAATATTTGGACTTTCTAAAACCAACAGAAGCGGACCCACACACACACACACACACACACACACACAAAGAAGAAGCTAGTTTGTGTTCGGCATCTGTTGCCTCTACAATCATGGATCAAAGCTTGGCTAATATCGCTGGCATATCACTTTCGTTTGAATGTTTGCTCATTAGGAATCCAAGATTACAAACATTACAGCATGCAGTAGGAAAAGCATAAATAAAATTAGTGGAGAGCTGAATTTGTGATGCTTTGTCGCTGATAGCATCAGGAGTAACATGTTTTAAAAAAGGTGGAAAGTATTTTGCATTCAGAGAAAAAGTGTGTTCACATCAGCAAGTCTGCAGGTGCAAATGTTTCCTATTTGATGTTTACAATACACTACAAACCAGAGATACGCATCAGGGTTACAGACTCCAGCCACCCACGAATAGCTAAAAGCCGCAAATACTTCAGAGCCCCTCTAAAAACCCTAATAACTGCCTACTTCAATAGTTCAAATATCAAATATGCCTTAATGTGCGTCAATACACACTGTGGAAGAAGCTAATATTTGCAGTATTTTTTTTATTTCCAATCGTGGAGCGACAGTCAATCAGCACCAGGGGAAATAAATGGCGCCCTCAGCTGGTGTGGAGGACCAGCTGCCTGGTTTGCTTATGCCTTGTGTTGATTGGCTCTTCTAACATTTACTAACATTACCAGAAAAAAACAAACAAAAATAAATAAACATTTCCTGCATTTAAAAGGCTAAAATTGTCAAATATGATGTCACCGATTTTGGGTATTAAACAAATACCCACAAATGTGTTCTTGGAAGTTTGTGTGTTTACCATATCGTCTTCCTCCTCCTGCTCCTCATCATCGTCATCGTTCTCCGGTGTCTCCTTGTCATGGTCTGCACCGTCTTCAGCTGCTTTGCCGCTTCCACGGTCCGGGTCTTTATGGTCACCGCCATAAACTTTCATCTCCTCACCAGCCGTCGTCTCTTCTGCCCCGGACACGACGCTGGAACTGGAGGAGGAAGAAGAAGAAGACAGACTTCCACCGCTCCCAGACACCGAGAGACGCTGCTGCTGCTGCTCCATTCTGTCAAGTTGTTGTTGCTCTTTTTTTTCTTTATGCGACGCCACAACAAACGCCGCTTCTTTTTTTTAAATTAACTTCCCAGCACACCCGTCCGGTTCATTTTAAGAAGCTACAGAAGTCCACTTCTTCTTTCCTCTCCCTCAGCCTGAGTGAGAACAGAGCCACGACGCGAACATTGTAACTCAGCGCCGCTCAGTGAACGTGTCCACACGTCGTCCGGTCCAAACAGCCGGGCTCCCCTCTCCTGTCGCGGTTGCCTCCTTTTGGATTTTGACGCTCATGACGTTCCCAGCAGCGCGAGACCATTCTGTCACTGCCCTTCATATCTCACAACCTCATACAGCCTGCTGCCTCACAACAAACCATGCCCACAGCGTGCGGCGACGGACCAATCAGATCGCAGAGACTGACGATCCTGCCAAATGCTGCTGGTCCGCACTATTTACACGCCGGTGAAGCGCGCGGACCCGGTGTTGGGAGCGGCGTGCGGATTTTGAGAGGGTTGAGACCTTTCTTGTGTTTTTCAGAAACACACAAGTTTTTTTTCTTGAAAACGTACACTGACAGAGTATAATAATGTTTCAAATTAATTTTTAGAATGCTTTATTATTATTATTATTTTTTTTTTTTTACATTTATGAAACTTAATTGTTAAAAACCTCTTTGAAGCTGCCCTGTAGAGTAATTAAAAACATATTCTCGGGGATTCCTTGGACTGGAAGCCTGCTCTTCACAAGTCAACAAAGATGCACACGTGACAATTTTTCCCATACACACAAATATTTTTTCCCACCTTTAGTCCTCCTTAACAGCAGCGTGAACTTCCTGTCATGCAGCGGTGACATGGAAAACGAGCAGACCCATCGTTTTACCCACAGTGTTGTTGCCATTAGGCGCTGAGTTTAATTGATTTGTTTCTCTTAAGACCACTTTCATTTATGTCAAAAATTCATTTTTATTTACTTATTTCTTTTTATTTAGTCGACTTTGCTACTTTGTGTTTGCCTGTATCCCTCACGTCTTAAAGGCGACACGCCCACATTCAACAAAGTCTTTAATTTATCTTATCTAAACAACTCGCTGAGGTGTAAAGCTTATGACCAGTGAAGGAAAACATGATCATCTTTTACCATAATGTACAATTTAGCAAATTACTGGAGTGTTAGAAGCTTTCCTATCCCTGTAATAGATGTTTCCTACAGCAAGTTGCATGTGTTTTAATTTAATTTAATAATGTACTATAGCCTTTCACTCCCCTTGAACCATTTCTCAAATTTTCACATTGCAGCCACAGAGGGTGTTTGGGTGAGTCTAGACCAAAATGATGTTGCTCCTGCTGTTTCGGCGTTCATGCAAGATGCAACCATGTGCAACAGAAAATGATTGTTGCAACTCATTCCGTCAACACCACATCCACAATAAGATCTGATAGCAACGTCATGCTGTAGGAATTATTTCTCTTCTGCAGAAAAAAACAGAAGCTGGATAGTCTTGAATCTCAATAAGTTTGCATTTTTAACAGTGGTGAAAGGCGTTTCTGTGCAAAGCAGAGTTTGTTCAAATCGGTTTTAAGGATGCAAATTAGGCTCCACTACGCAACTTTGAGAAAACCTGTGAAGCTAAATGTAACCTAAAACATTTTAGGTTACATAAAATGTAACCTAAAACAAAGGTTGAGTAGATTTATTGTCTTAATTACAAAGTAAACTGTATTGCTTTCAAATGCCATTGCCTGTTTTTTTTACTTTTTTTTTTTTTTTTCAAAGTAAAATGTTTCAGTGAGGCAGAGCAACTACTAAGACGATTTTCACGCAACATAGTTTTACAGAAACCAAGGACAATACAAGATTAAAGACAAAATCATTTAACACATGTACATAAACACACAGATTTACACTCACAAACACTTCAGATGCAGGAATGCTGTCTTAAATTGAAATACGACTAATGTGGTCAACACTAGACAGAAGAGTGAATAGTGAGACAATAAAATGTATTGCGTCCAAGTCTGCTGCAGCTGGAAAAACATGAAGGGACAAAATGAAATGATCAACTTAGAGACTTTTAGAGTTAAGCATGGACAAAAGTTTCAGAAAAGAAGCTAAATCTTCCTTTTATTAGAGTTTTTTTTTTACTATTCCATGTTGTCAGAATGGTTTATAATAATTTTTTTTTAAACAGTCTGACAATAATTAGACTCCACTTAATTCCCGATTCGACAACTGTTGGGCATTTGTCTTTTCACCCAGAATCAGTTGGTTCCAATGTCGTTGCTTTGTTTTTTTTCTCACTACTAATTAATGAAATCATTGCTCCAAATCCACCTTTTCTATTTCCTTAGGTCATCTGAGGCAAAGCCAGATAAAAACCACACTGTTGTGGTAAAGTCTTGTCCACGGAGCCGAGCGTCACAAAACGTCCCCGACTGAACTTTACGGCCCGAGCATCGATCGCTGCTCTTGGGCCTCGACCGACTCATCCAAAGGTTGAGGAAAAACACGGCTAAAAATAAACAGAGTAGCAGGATGCACTGCAGAGACCTTCTCTGCAAGAGTCGAGGCCCCCGTGGGAGAGTCTGGGAGTAGATTTTATTGTTCTGAGAGAAGTACGACTTGCAAAGAGTCCTTTGTGTCTTGCATCAAAACAAAGGAAGACACATCATCTAACAAAAGGTAGAAGAGCTTTTCTCAAGGAGGGAATCGCATGCGATCCTAATTTCTCTATGTGAAACCGCTGCTTGAAGCTGGAGTTCATCCGTGTGTTTTGTGTTGAACTTTTTACATTCAGAAGACAATTCTTTGCTTTTCTCAAGCGCCTGCCAGCTCACGGCTCCAACCTTCAGAAATGTTGCCATTCAGACATTTTTGGTTGCTCTGATCCCCGGTAAGCAACGCCGTTCTCAAAGCTACGAGCCTCTTGAGGGAGAATTTCTCTCACACCGCAGATTATCCTTTACCCGCTCTGAAACACGTGGTTGTGTCCGTGCAAACATGGCCATGACGTGTCGGCCATGTTTGCTTGTTCGAACGTGGCCGACGTGTTGGTGAAGCTCTCTGTGGCCACGTTTCTCGATAAAGTTATTGTTCTCGAGTGTTGAAACTGAAGAAAGAAGTCCCTGTGAATACCTAGTACCTGCGTAGAGACTCAAAGTCGTCAACTTTTACACGTCGTAAGTGTGCCAGGGTTATCGTAGTTAGAGAAAAAAAAGACAGGGGTAAATTCCCGCCAAAAAACTTTCTAGAAAAGACAAGGAATTTTTTAAAAAGTCCAGAATTGGAGTTTTGAGTACCAGAAAAGCTTTGAAGATGTATTTGTTTGGATAAAGAAAAAAAATGTCAGTGCGTCTGACTTTTAACCCTCTCAGGCTCAAATTACTTGAAAAGACTGTGTAAGTTGTTGCAAATCTGCAACACCTGCCTGGAGAGGGTTAAAACAGTTCTTATGAACAAAATGTCTTCTATGAACATCTGGTTCCTCTTTTTGCAAATCCTTCTTTTAAATAGAGACAAACAAACACAACATTTTTGGAAATATCTTTTTGACGATGAGGAGTGAGGGACGTCCTAATTGACTGGAAAGCACCATTAGCGTCTCAAAAACAACATGTCTCACTTTTATTTTGTGGTTCCGTTTGCCTACTTTAAGATTTGTCAATACGGTTTCTGAACATCAACTCTAAAGGAATTCAGTAATCAGATTTGACTTTTTATTGTACATGAAGAATTTTATATTTAAAATGAAAAGTGAAAAAAACAACAACATTGCTTTTTGTTACAAATTAGTTCAAGGGAAATAACTTTTATGACAAGTTTACCTTCTTTGTTGAGCTAATAAATCATGAAACTGGGCGTTTTTTTGTTGGTTTTTTTTTTAATGCGAAACAAAACAGTTTATGTGTTATAAATAGAAGAGGGGCCCCTTTAATTAGTCTCTGCTTCGGGCCCTGGATGGTCCGGGGCCGGCCCTGAGGTGGAGTCGGGCATCAAGCAGAGAAATGGAGGGTCTAGGGATATTAAAGAAAGAAAGAACACAAGGTTAGAGATGAAACTGACAATTAAACTGTGTTAAAATGTTTTAGGCGTTCATGTAAGAAATATCCCAACAAACACGAGGATGTGTCGGGAACAGAACCCAACACATCCTCGTCTCCCAACCTCTGACTGAAAGCGCAGCAAACATTTAGAGGAATTCTGCACAAATTGGACGTCCAAAATAGTTTGAAAAATCAGTAAATCTGAATGCATGGCTTTACAGCAGGTAAAATAAGCATTAAAACACCTTTTCTTAAAAATATGAATTGAAAACATATTTCTAAAGGTGCTATCGATGTGAAATTTTCCCCGGGTGTTGGCAAAAACCCAGTTCATCGGTACACAGAAAGAAACCAAAACAGATAAATGCGGAAATTAAGCAATGTGATATAACCGAGCAAAAAAGTATTGAACACAAGCTGTGTAAAAAAGGCATGGAAAGCCGAGACATCAGCTAAAATCAATCAGACATTAGACCGCCATCCTGGCCCTATTAAACAACAGGGCCGTTCCAAGCCTTTTTGTGGCCCCAAGCAGGTTTTCCTGGGGGAGAGGGGTGGCATCCAAGATGTCAACACCAAAGGATTTATCATCAGAATCATTTGTGATTAGCATACATTAAAGCATTGCTATGATGACTATCGATTTTAACCTTCCAGTTAAAAAAATAATAATAAACATTTGGACTTTGAAATGCAGTGTAGCACATGTAAATGGTATCTATGTGTGCCGTTTTATTTTAACTATTTGAAAATTTAATCCTATTAAATTTAACACTAAATTTAATATCTTGTATTTCCCCAAAGGTGACAGCAGCCATCAACAGGAAGAGATAAATCATTATTAATTATAAAAACAATACAGAAATTGTTTTTCCATGTGTGATAGCATTTATTTTGCAATATTCAATGTTTCTTTAAAATATGTGCCCCCTAGTGGTGTGGTGCACCACCAAGCAGCTACATTTGCCTTGGGCCGGCCCTGTAAATGAACATCAACTTGTTCAGTCCAGATTGATAGTTTTTGCACTGCGTTTGTACTTTGCAAACTATTTTCTCTACATATTAAAAATCAAAAGCTCGAACATTGATGATCTAAATATTTTACTCATTCTACTTTGCAAATGTGTTTCAGAGTTTCCACATTTTTGACATCGCAACCATCACTTTATTTGATTGAGATTTATTACGATAACTCAACGACCAGCCTGCTTGGTGACTAGGTGTCTTGGTTTTATTTAGGTGTATCGGAGTAGCGGGGTTAAACTAAAGAAGGGCACCTTTGTCTTGAGTTCAAATTGCAGCAAAAAGAATTGAGCATTTGTTTTTGTGAGAGATGTGGAACAATTTCATGCATGAACACATGCAGGGATGAACAGAAATCAGTCTTACAGGCTGTATTGCTGCTGGTGCTGCTGCAGCTGCTGCTGGTGCTGCTGCAGCTGCTGTTGCTGTTGCTGCTGCAGCTGCTGTTGCTGTTGCTGCTGCAGCTGCTGCTGTTGCTGCTGCTGCTGCAGCTGTGCTGTTGCTGCTGCAGCTGTTGCTGTTGCTGCTGCAGCTGCTGCTGCTGCTGTTGCTGCTGCTGCTGCTCATCTTATTTTTCGCCCATTTCTTCTTGCCCTAAAAGTGAAATGTATCAGACTTCAGTTGGAAGGATCTAATTCTGGTCTTGGTGTTTTATAAGCATTAAGCTGGTGTTTGAACAGAAAACACGTACATAGTTATCATTGGTGGACCAACCAGGGTGTTGCTGCTGATGGAGCTTTTGTTCCAGTCTGGCCTTCTCGAAATATTTGGCCTTCACCTCGACTGGCAAACTGTTCCACTGTGGAAACACGACAGAACCATGTCAGCACTGAGCAGTGCAGCTGATGCAACACTCACAACCAGGAATATTAAACTATTTGCTTCTTGAGTTTTTCCAATTTGTTTTTTTTACTGCATTTGATTTAGTTTCAGACTCTGCTTTGCTCATGAGGGAGCAAGATGAACTTTCATCAATAGATGGTATTATTAGTATTATTATCAATACTTCTGGAAGTTTTACTTTCCTGTTTTTACTTTTTAAGTTGTAACAGAGGTGAACTTGCAGTGGAAAAAGAATACGGCAGATTCAATAAAAAGGAAATCGCAGTTAATCTGTTACAAATAATCAAATGAAGTTTATGCAATTACGTTTATTAAATTGTTATTTTAAATAAATGTAGATTAAGTTTAATTTGATTACTTGTAGCAAATTATCTCTCTTTTTTTGTAAATCAGAGTTACGTTCTCTATTTTTTCCAGTGCAGACTAGACAAAACCACATCATCATGATCTTATATTATCTAACTGGACGCAGTTTTCCTGAAAGTTCAGGATCAGTCTGACTCACCTTTTCTCCCACGACTTTATTCACCATATCACTTCTGTTGGTATTGAGCTCCGACACCACCTGTGGTCTCAGCTCCTTCAGAAAAATCATGAAGGCGTTTGGTGGCTTTTTAACGTAGGGTCGGCCGTCATCCGGCTTGACTCTGACTCGTCTGTAACGAGGTACAGCGGAGAGAGAGAAAAAAGAAAGTAAGAACACAGAAACCTGATCAGCTGAGACGCAACAAGAGATACGAGAACAACTAGAAGGAATCCATTTTTTAAAAAGGTACTTTGAGGTGTTGACATTCAGAGGAGTCTGGACAGCGTGGTACAAGATTTCTCCATTCCTGCACAGAATGACAGTAACAAGATGACTGTGTGGACATACAAACAAAAGCTACACAGGTTTATAGAGTGTGGTTGGTCTTTATATGTGTATTACTTACAGGACTCCAACTGGTTGTAGCTTGAAGTCTTCAGGTACGTGGATTATGGGTAAACTGTGCAGAATCTGAAGGGGGGAGAAAAAACAAAACAGATGCAGCTGCTGAGGTTCAATTGGGCCTTAAAGTTCCCCCTTTAGAAAGAACCAGCAAGGCTCGGTCTTCAGTTTTGTTGTATTGTTTTACTCAAACTAGCAAGGCTTGTCTGCTTCTTATTTTGGCTTCATACAAATGAATGATCATTTGATTTGACTGATGACATATTTAAATATCGAATGCATATTTGAGTGGCAGTGAAGGCGGCACGGTTTTGGCTTCAGTTTTACTCTCGTGATTTATATGAACTTTCTGGAATGACAAGAGAAACAATAGCTACGTTTCCATTGACCATAAATTTGCGCAAATTGAAATTGCAAAAATAAAATTCGCGTAATTACAATTTTGAAATAAAATAAACAACAAAAAACTACTTCCGGTTTCCATTTTAAAAAAATGCACTAGGATAAGTCTTCTTTTCTTTTTTTTGCTGTGTTGAAATTACAAGTCCTTTAAAAGTGCCAACTTTCCATTAAAAGACTCATTATTTACCAAATAATTCAAAGTTGGTGCTTTTAACTGACTTTAATATTTTAAGGTTTTGTCGTTCAACAGGAAAAAAGGCAATGAGAGAGGGGGAAGACATGCGGCAAACATCTCCAGGCTGGGAATCGAACCTGCGACCACCACCACGAGAACCGACGCCTCAACGAGTGGGTTGTGGCTTCAACCCACTCCTGCGTCACCGCAGCGCCTCCTTCATGGACTAAATTAAAGGTGTCATTATTTACCGCATGTCATGACAACAGGTCACAAACATTCATAACGACTCCTTCATGTTCATTACAAATGCGTCACATCAGTCTCATGCACAACCCGTCAAATCGCTGCATTTCTCAGTTCACGGAAATACAGCAACTGCCAAATTGTTCGTTTTCGACATTGGCAGAATATGGAGAAGGATTTCCCTGAATTTGTCATGGAAACGCAGCTACTGGTACCACACAGCCAAAAGCAGAACCGCCAGACTGCGACCCGGCTTCCTGCACCAAGCAAACATCACACACCTGGTGTTAGAATTGTCATTTTTATTTGATGTCATCATTTTTCAGACCTAACTAAAAAGCAAACTATTAATTACTATTTGGAAAACATTGGAATATGTATATATATATATGTACATATTTTAACATGAATAATGGAGGTGAAGGTTTGTGCATGTTATCCACCCGGACTGACCAAAGTATCAGTGTGGAGCTGTGGTGGACCGAGCCAGACTGGAGGACAAGGAGGAGGAGGAAGCAGGAGCAAATTTCCCGGAAGAAATTCCTCCTTGACGTTCCGGTCAGTGGGAAACACGTTGCTGAAATTCTTTGCCAGGATCTGGTCGACCTCCTCCATGATCTCCTCGATGGAGGGCAGAGGAGGGACAGCAGGAGCTGGAGGTAGAAATGTCGGAATAGGAGGCCCGACCGGGACGGCACTGTCGACACTGAACTCTGGTAAAGCAGAGCTCACGTTTGGAGGTAGAGGATGAAGGAGTCGTGACGGAGGAGGAGGCGGGAGGAGGATCTCCTTCCGAGGAAGGTCTTCGATATGGTCCCCATAAGTCCAGACCTTGTTTTCAAACTCCTCTTTCAGCGTCGCGTTAAATTCTTCCAAGTACTTCTTAATGGAGACGCAGGTCTCGGAATCTTCGTCTTTCCTTGAACTCTCCCTAAAAAGCCCATCTACAGAGTCCCAATCCAGGGTAACCAGCACTTCCTTCTTCGTTGCTGGGATCTCGTCAGAGTCTCCCTTGTGCGCGCCGACAGAGACAGAACTTTCCGAATCCTCCTTATTCCCTGGACCTTCGTTAGATTGTCCCATCTGTGGAGGAGCGGGGATAAGGGGAGAAAGAAAAGGCTTTGGCAACAGAGGAGTAGAGGGGGAGAGCTCCTCTTTGAGGAACTCTTCTTCTACAACGTCCCTGTCAACATTGGCAGGATTGTCGAGCTTCACCCTCTTCTCTGTCAGGATGTGGTCGGATTCCTGGATGAGATCCCGGGTGGAGTCCCAGCCCCTTAACCCAGGGAAGGAAACTGCAATTAGCTTCAGTGCAATTAGAGGTTTATTACAGTTGGCTAATAAGGTGGCTTCTATTAAAGAGTTAATTTTCTGTGACATTGAAAAAACTAAAACCCCTCAGTTTGCTGTTATACTGAGTTGTTTTAGACGTCACAGAGTCCCTGTAAATACTGACCTGACGTGTTCACACATGGTCCACTTCTCTCTCCTCACCTGCTCCTTAAAACGTTCCTCAGTTTTGACTTCTTGAAGCTGCGAGGCTAAAAAAAGCTGTTCGCTCGACGATGGGGTCGCAAACAGAACTGTGCAGGTGAAACGCGTCACTCGGATCTTTGACTCTGTGACTCGGGTTCCATGGGTTGCTTGTTGTGATGTCAGCTTCTTCTGCCTCTCTGCTTCTAGAGCTGTCAAAAAAACACACAACAAAAACAGCAACACAATTTGTTTTGCTTTAAAATATAAAAATAAAAACTGGACGTGAAGCTGTCTAACCAACAATAGCATGATCCCAGAACAGGTGGTTTCTGAATAGACTGGTAGTTTACCATCAAAAAAATTAATTCAATGTGCAACTTTAAAAGTTGATGGGGGGAAAACAGTGACTATTGATCCTCTGTTGATAAAGTAGTCATTAATACATATTTTAATAAACACCCAAAAACAGTGGTGTTTATATTTTTCTCTTTTAGGTCTGAAAAGCTCATCAAAAACTTTTCAAGCGCTGCATTTCTTTCTCACCACTAGATGGTGCACTCACAAATCAAACGCAGCTTGTTTTGTATGTTTTGCATGATGTTCAGTGATTTGGATGCAGATTAGAAGATATATAAGATAGAAACTTTATTAATCCCTTTGGGATTTTCCCTCCAGGAAATTGTAAATTATTATTATTTCATATACAAAAAAAATGTTATAAATAAACAGTGACCAATATTTTATGAGAATAATTAAGTTTTAGTTCCGTTTCACAATTTTGCAAAAACGTAACTCAGGAGATGGTAGAGAATATGTTATGCTGTGGGCCTGTTTTTTATTTTTTATATTTTTACATTTATGGAATCATACAATTTTAGTATGGTAAAATAAAAAAATATATACATTGGAGAAATTACAACACCTTAATCTCTGGAGTATTTGAAAATAGGTGTTCTTCCTGAGCAGGTCGAAAACTGAAGACAAAATAAACAATAATAATAATAATAATAAACCCGCAGCAAGAAACTTTTACAATGACATGACTGTATATCACATATGTACACCTGGTTTTCATCCGTGTCATTCCTTAAATGGCATGACTATAAAATAACCACACGTGTGACGTCATCTGAACGATTTAAATCAAAGACATTCAAGTGAAATATTTTGAATTTTTATTTCACCTATATCTTATTGAGTCACGTGAAAATATGTTCACAAAAGTGAATCAAATAAAATATAAACTGAAATCATGACCATCTTTAAGCATTTTTCCATTCGCTAGCATTTAAATATATAAATGTTCAAAAAAAAAAACTGTTATAAAAACATAATTTTTTTGTTTGTTTCTCTTTTGTTTTTGTTTGTTTTTGTTTGTTTATGTGCTGAGAAAACGTGGAGCCACTGGAAATTATTTGAAACGGACCGATTCATGAATCGCTCACAAAAATGGCAGCGGCAGCCGTGACCTACATGGGTCCGTGCTCTCTGAAGGTATCCTCCAAAAGTCAAACTGCAGCAGCAGCAGCAGCAGCACAGAACGGGGTGCGATCAAAGCAAATGAGAGAAAGAAAAAAAATAGAGAGAGAGAGAGGAACACATGTCACATTTCAACTCTGGTTGCTCACAGATGACTTGCAGCACACAGCTGATCTTAAACGTGATAAGAGTGAAGGTCGGGAAATTTACATTTCAGAAAAACATGAGTAGGCACACACACTCGCTCGTTTAGCGGAAACCAGTTTCCTGTCAAGGAGATCTCCGAACAGTTCACAAATCTGAATCAAAAGCAATTAAAATTTGTCTTTTTTTCCCCCCCTTCTCTTCTTAAATCCCCAGAAAAATCTTTTACATCTATAGTCCTGTGAATCACTTCAACTGCAGCAAAAACAAAAAAGAGAAGGGTTTTCTTCTTCACATAGGGAAATGTGGCAGTGACCTGGAGTCTCCACGGATCATCTTAATCTACAGCAAGTGCAAATTAACTCATGTAGAGAGGATGAAATTATTTGAAAGTGGTCACTGAGAAGACATAGAGGAAGATGTTAATCCAGAGATTATCATCTTAATCTCACTGAAGATCATGTAATTAACTTATGTAGAAAGGATGAAATTATTTGAAGACATCGATAAAGATGATAATCCTGAGATTATCATCTGACATTAAGATGATAATAAACAGCACTAATAACGTTTTCCATGCCGCCTAGCTGAAGTCGGCGAGGTGTGAAGTGAACTTCCTGTGTGTTTCCAGTTCATTACAGAAAGAGGAACCTGCAGCAAGTAGTACAAGAAGTCGTCTTGGTGTTTTTGGGTTTGTTTTTCTTTTTGTTTGTTTTGCCTTCCTAAAAGCGATCACTTGCTGCCGCACTTACATGTTTTCATCGAGGCGACAACATGCTGTCACATAGTCTCGCTTATGAGAGTCTTCTTTTCTCTATCCGTGGCAACAAGACGGAAAAGGTGCAGAGGCCTCGTGAATCTGGCATTTTAGAAGAAAGTGTGTTCAAAAATAGAAGGTCGTGCAGCAGAAGATCCCCCCAAAAAAATATGTTTGCAATTTCAGGAAATCTGCATTAAAAGACAGAGAACGCTCCTGCTTGTGCTGTGTGATGGACTCCGTTCTGTGTGAATTTAAAACAATTCTCACGCCTGGAATGACAATGTCAGAAACGTGAGTGCTACCCCCCACCCACCACAAACCCCTACCCCCTTCCTTTTGGCATTTGAAGAGGAAAAACTCACTTACTGTAAAGACTGAGTGG